CTGGTCCTGAGCTACCGCCTCACCAGCCTGGAGGCCGGTGAGGAGCCGCCCCCGCCGAGCCCCGCTAGCCCCGGTGCTGCCACGTCGCCTGCCACCTCCCCTGAGCCGGGGGTTGAGGAGAAGGAGGAAGAGGAGGAGGCGGGTGATGAGCTGGAGGGCAACATCATTTGCCCTCCCGTGCTCTATTACAGCTGCGAGCCTGCTGAGCCTCATCTGCCGCCAGCAGCAGCAGCTGCGGGGAAATGGGAGCATGTTGAGGCCTGGAGACCGCAGGAGCAAGACAAAGCCCAGAGCCCCCCATGTCCCAGTGCTGGGCCTTCATTGCTGCACCCCACCAGCCCTCAACAGCTCCACAGCACCCTGGGGCAGCTGCAGCTGCTCAGTGCCTTGCTGGCAGAGCTGTCAGTGCTCGCCCGTGGTGCTACGCCTGCTGCCATCCACCCCCATCTGGCCTGGCTCTACAAGGGCCCAGGGGGTGGTAGCATGGCCTCACGGCCCCCCAGCCCCAGCCACTCCTCTGCCCTCCGGCCTGCAGAGGCACCCATGGGGCCAGGTGGGAGCAGTGGAGCTGCTAGCCCTCAATCCAAGCAAGGCTGGCGAGAGGGCACCGCGCCAGGGTCTTCCCGGGCTGAGAGAGGACCTAAGAAAGCTGTAGTCCAGGGACAGGCAGGCTCTGAAAGGAACTGCAAAACTAAGGAAAACAGACCTCCCAGAAGGAAACTGTTGTACGGGCTGACAAATACACTGCGGCTACGGCTGCAGCAGACCAATCCTGATAAACTGATAATTCATGAAAGGAGGGAGCAGTACAGAAAAAAGCAAATGGAGATGATGGAGAGAGGCCCTTTATCCAAAAGGAAGCTGCTCAGAAATGCTGGAGGACAGGATGTGGTTTCTTACAGGCATGGTAGCAAGGGAGACGGTTCAAAGCAGAATAATCAGCTTGACAAAACTGTTGAGACTACATTACAAAACAGTGCTCTCGCAGAGTACGTTTCTGTGACAGCAGGTGCATCCCCTGATGTGCAGAAACAGCCTATTGCATGTCTATCGAAGAGTGATGAAATTGCAAGCAAGGAACGTCCATGGAAAGTAACTACAGCCCCCTTAGTGGAGGAAGCTGTATCAAAATCTGCTCGCAAGGAAGAGTATGCAAAAGCCCAGCTCCCGGCAGCTTTCCCATCAGATGCTAATGCAAAGGGAAGTAATGAGGAAGTGATACACTTAATCCAACGTAAAACCGCAGAGCATGATGATGGGTCTGTTGCAAGTGATCATAAACCAAGCCCCAGCAGGAGTGTTGAAAATAACTCTGAATTCATATACTCAGATGATTTCATTGCTAGTCCTGAGAACACAGTTTATTCGGATGATTTCACCAGTGCTGAGTGTATGAGCAAAGACTCGGAAGCTCTTGACAGCAGTCCTGAACCTCTGTGGCTTGAAAGCACAAAGCGAGGTTGGTCAGATACAGAGCTGGAATCCAGCAGGTCCCGAATTTCAAAGACAAGTCAAAGAGCTGAAAGTATTTCAGATCTGCCAGTTCCTTCGGTTTCATCTCCAGTCCAGTCTTCGAAGAGAAACAGTGGCTTAAAATCCAGCAAGAGAACTAGTAATGAATCTGTTGATTCAATTAATGATGCCTCCATTCGAGCAAGGTTATTGGATGAAGAGGAGGAAGCCCAACAGATCAGTAAGGAAGAGAAGAGGGGTGATCAGCATATTAAACAAGTACCTACACTGAGAAGCAAACAGGTTAGCTCTGATGCTGATCTGTATATAGGAAAGGGGCAAAGCTCTGATGCTGACCTGAATATAGGAAAGGGGCAACCCCCTGCAGGAAAAAGCCAGTCAGTAACTCAAGTTAGGTCTTACTTGCCATCCAACATGTCTGATCTTGAACTTAGTGTTCTGGAAAACAGTATGTCAGACAAAGAGGAGGATTTTCTGGGAAAACTACGTGTTCCTCATCAATATAAAGACATCAGTGAACTTGTAATAAACAAACTTCCGGGATACACAATGTAATTACAAGTTTTCACTGTCTGGATTAAGATACAATATTTAAACTTTATCAGGCCTGTTACATTTAGTTGTAATATATACAAGTTAATTTAAGACTTTATCATGCATGTTTAATACATTGGTGAATTTACTTAAAATAAACTACAATTTGAATCTCTAACGAATGGCTCTTTAAGCATACCTATAGCATGACTTCAGTGTCAGTATCATAATACAAAAGTAAACTGAACAGTGCAAGAAACATAACTTCCTGTCAAAAGCAGAAGAAATAAAGACAGAAGCAGCAAATGCAGTCAGTACCCACAGAACTTGTCCAGGGTAGAAGTAATAACATACTACAGAAACAGCCAAGTACAAAATATGTTCCTAACTGAACATGAAGTTTTCATCCCTCATAGGAAATATTTCCATGCTTCATTTTCATTAGAAATGGTCACTTAAAACATACAGTCACGGCCAGTACCAGCACAGACTTTTATCAGCCAATCTGTACCATGATGTATTTGCTTCCCTGTTCTGCTGCTAAATACTGTGACCAGAACTAGATCAGCCCTTTTAGAGTTTCTTAGGTTGAAGCTTCTCATTTAGGTTAGATTTTCACAATTTATTATAAAATAGTTTAAGAATTACTGGTGATAGTAAATCCATATAACCTGGGAGGGCTTTGAGAGGTTGATGGAAGTTACTTGACCTTGAAGACTAAGGATGTGCAAAGAGTAGGGAAGAGTGCAGTAAATTTGCAACGCTTTGCAACTCCCTAATTGCATTCTCTGACACTAGGGAAAGTAGGGGGTCAGCACTCACAGCCTGGAAACTTGGAACAAATGAGCGTATTACATCCTGAGTTAAGGATTAGAGATAGTGAAGAATTTGCCACATCCCCTTTTCAGTTCCTTTGGTTGAACTACCATCTGATGTTCAATTTTGCTTTCTGGTTTGGTTTTAAGACTTCCAGTTTGATCACTGGATTGAATGTCTTTATTTAACTACTGAGTTTAATTTTTAGAGTCTGTATCCCCATTACAGATTTCAGAGACGTTCTTTGACTTCCATCTGAAGAGAGCTCAAAATTCCTTCCGTAGTTTTTAGGTCTCTCTTGTCCCTTTCCACTCTCTTCATGTAGTTTGTCTCCTTCACCAGCTTTATATTCCTATCTCATCATTGACAACATTCATCCTCAGGGTTAAATGAGAGACTTACCAGCTCCCCTTTTCCTCATAATTTACAAGCTGACTTATTTTCCCAACTTTTAAATTTCTCACTGTAGTTCTCCGTGTACTTACTGCAAGAGCCTGTGTTTACCCTTTAACATCTTGAGAATTTTTTATTTCCATCCTACTATGTGTTTATTTTGTAGGAATCACAGCACCTCTCCTATTTAAAAGTACTAATACCTGTGAAGATTATTCAAGTATCTGGTGTTGATTTCTGAGAACACCGCTACTAATATTTTTAATCTAAAGTTAAGCAGATAAAATTGTCCATATATCAAAGGAAATCTCTGGCCAGAGCAATTCTTAAACATTATTTAGGGTGCCTGTGTTTCATCAGCTCCAATTCCAGACCAAAATATACTTTTTTTCTTTTTTCTTCTAGTGCCATGGACTTGTTTGATACACATAGATTCAGACTGTCATTTATACATGGCAGTAATTCTGATTATACTGATGGAATAAGATCTTGCAGTTCTCATGGGCAAAACTCTCACTAGAATACAATGCTGGCCAGCCATTTCTACTCTGCGGCTATTTAAATGAGTTGCTAACACTAAAAGTCCACGATTTTAAAATCGTTGCTTAAGAAAAGTTTACTTTAAAAATAAAGTTTGTTTTCAACCCCAAATGGGTTGAAACTCCAGGGCAAATTCCTAGTCCTTTTCCTGTTCTCTATCCCATCCTACATTTTTCAATTTCCAGAAGAAATATGGTAGGAAGAATATTTCTTTTGTTTAAATCATTAAATTAATCTCTTTTCAGCTAATTTTATTTGGGATAGCATTTCTAATGTTTATTGTGTAATAGCATTTATAATGTTATCAGAAGAATGATGAAAATGACAGAAAATGCATACTAGGAAGACAATAGGAGACATTACACAAGAACATCAGCATCATGCTTACATGTTTTCATTTAATTTTGCCTTTTCAAATATAGACTCAAGGTAGTTGTTATAGTGTGGAGAGGTTAACAGATAGTTCCTACCCTCTGGGATGGTAATCTTTTCAGATATTATCTACGTTGTTGCGAAAGTAAATGAAATTTTAGTTAATATTCAAACAGCAACTCCCAGTCAACAAAAATGAGAAAGAACTTTGTGTCACTGATTTGTCACTGAAAACTCATAAACTGGTATATTGGCAAGAAGTACCTTCTACTGACAAGAGGATTCTCTGTGTCAACCCAACAGAGCAAAACAGAGGTATTTACTATCAGTATAAAATAATAAGAAAAAAAAAGGCAGCAACAAATTCCCTTTTGTACAAATCCTATAATAATCCACACTACTACATTATACAAGCTAGCCAATTTTGTCATTATAACTTGCAACCTGTACCACTGTGATCAAGTTGTTAACAGAGGTTTAATAAAAGGTCTCTCAACTTTAACTGAAGTACTACACCAATTTTTCATACAGACATAATTTCTGAATTGTAAGGGCTAAATTGTATGGATTATGCTTGTGCAGGGGACATGACAATATGCTAGGAGAAACAAATAATAGTAGTATATCTCCCACAGTTCTTGTGCAGCCTTCCCAGAAGTAGCATAGATACTTCAGAATATGTGCCTGTTTTTCAGATACCCCAAAAGCATCCCAAGAAGTAGAACCCTAGTGGCAGAGCTGGGGTGTCCAAGTGAAGTAGCAGAAGTGTCAGTACTCTCTTTGGTAGCTCTGCACTACTTTTCTGATTCAGTCTGAAGAAAGCCAACGCATTGGAAAACTGCTTTCCTAGAAAGATCTCAACTAAAACTGTTCCATAAGGACTGCCTCACAGACTAGAAAATGAGAAGATAGATGAAGAATGAAATCTTGTCCCACTACACATGAAAACCTTGATTTGAAAACTCAGCTTTTGGAGCAAGAATAGCTAATTTTTCCACATGCATTCAATCCATGGTTCTTTGTCAGAGCTCCCATAATGATTATTAATTAGAACTCATTATAGTGTGGGCCCATATCCACTGAGAGACTGATGTAAAACCAACACGGCTTCTTACAGTCCCCCAGCCATCTGCTTGTAAGAGCTTTTCAGTTGTTACTGAAGGTTGAGCAATGCCCATGAACACGGGGTCTCTGTCACAGATTTGTTACATGCTTGACAGAGCCAAGTGCAAAGTATCACAAACCCAAAATATTTACTAAAAGCTCCCTATTTCCTGATTTCCCGTAGCCCTTAGAGATTTCATACACAATTGTATTTTGACTGGATTTGCTGTAGTTTTTGTTTTGATCTCATTGACTCGTTAACTCTAAACATTTCCTTGCTCCACACTGTTAAGAAGTAACTATAGTTACTTCAAGTTTTACACTGTTGTTAGTTACACTTTGAACTTTACTACAGTGAAATTAAAATGTGAGAATTAGCTAAGTTTATCATAGATCCTCACTAAACAAAGCCATCTAGCTTCTTACTTTTGACTTGTTGCTTTAGCAACTATCTTTGCTTTAAATCTGTACAACATTCTAGAATTAAGGTAGATAGGTGTTCAAAACCATAGTTTTATTGCTTAAGATAAGGGTGGTTAAATCAGCTCAAATATAATTGAACTTAATGTTTCACCACAAGTCCCAAACCGAGAAATAAACTCCTAGATATACACAGTAATTCTTTTCAGAATTTATGACCCTAAACCAAGTTTGCTATGACTGTCTTTTAAACAGTTATCTCAGCATACTATTTGTTAAAATAAATTTAGATAGCCAGTACTATATAATAGCCAGTACTATATAACTGATGGTGCGATGGGAAGAGCAGGACACGAAATACTGACAGTTTGGGTTGCTTTACCTCTTCCACTGTAACGTTTTCCTGCCATTAGGTAGTTCTGATCAGTCTTATTACTCAGTCAGTACTAGGAACATTTTAAAGAAGTCCCAGCCAGGCATGTTTCCTCCATTTTTTTTTCCTCAGCTTTCAGCACTCTGATTAGATGACAACAGTCTCTTTTCTGTTTGTGATTTCTCTGATGATAATTCCTATCACCTATTTTACAATTTGTAATCCCTTCATCATTTTGGAAGTCCTTCTCCTCAGTTTTCTGAAATTACATCCAGCCTTGGTAACTGCGATTGAATTTTTTGAGTTATTCTTACTACTTTCATTCTTCTAGGTCTCAGTATTTTATGATGCCTGCTATTGTAATAATTTTGTTTCTTTTTGTGTAAGTACTGCTCAGAGTTAAATGCTAATCATTATTTGGAAATCTTTGGGACTTTGCTTTCCTTTTCTCAGCATTTGTCACCAGCATCTACTGCTTGCTCAGCTTTTGATTGTCTAGAAGTCAAATCATTGAATCTTACATTCATATCCTTAAAAGGTTTTGTTGACTGTTACAGGCAGGATCTTCACCAGCTCCTGTGAAATGTAACACCACTCATTCAGAGCTGCAGAATGACCATCCCAGACTGTGAACATTTGCCCATGGTTATCAGACATCAGGTTTCTCTACCTCTCCCAAACCCTGCCTTTAATCCTTTTCTAAAATTTTGATTTCCAGACTAATCTTTCTTTTTAGACAACTGTGGCCATCTCTGTGAGAACTTACGCTGGCTCTAATTGAACATGCATTTGAGCTAATGGCAATCACATCTCCTATAGCTAATGTTTGCTACCAGCTAGCTGCTTGCATTTTCCATCCTCCCTTTTAGTGAGTATGCTGTTTGATTTTAATTTCAGTTTTGTCCACATTCAGATTCTTCCTTGATTTTAAATTCCTTGTATGTATGCAGTTCTGTTATGCTGAAATCACCCAGATGAGCTGCAGTTTCACTGCCTTTTTCTT